GTTTCTTAAGCTTAACTTTGCTCACATTTCTTGCTTTAGGGAAGCGTCTTCCTGAACAACCATCCTCGGTAGGTGTAGCATACTTCCCAGCACGCTTTAGACCACGCCCAGCTGGACCAGACACGAGCTCAACATCCAGGCGTCACCAGCTATTTCGCCAGCTCCATCTCGCTATGGACCTAGCGGTGCAAGGTCTGTGGCCAGCTTCTCCATGCAATAGAGTGTGCGTAACACCCTTCCCAGCTCACTTTAGAGCACGCCGAGCTGGACCAGACGCCAGATTAATACCCAGGCATCGCCTGCTACCACGCCAGCTCCATTTCGCTATGGATTGGGCGACTCTCAGTGTGTGGCATGCGTCTCCCTGCTATAGATTGAGCATAGCGAGCTGTCCAGCTAGTTCTATAACAACTACAATGCACTACACTGGTGCTTTTCTATAGGAAGACTCTCATGGAATTATAAGGATAACAAGGGCACAACCTAGACAAATAAATCAATGCCTAATATGGGTAGTGTGGGTACAATGGGCAATTTCACAAGCACAAGTGGATGTTTGGTGCATGGAAAGCTAAAGAACAGCTGCATGCGAATCAAAATTCGGTCCAGAATTAAAAATATGTACAATAGCGTGTGGCTATCCTACTGGTATGAACACGAAGATAGACTATAATGGCAACCAATACGTTACAATTCTAGAATATGGCTTATCGCTATAATAGGCTACTTTTATATGTTTTGTACGAGCTTACATATTTACTAGATCAAATTGTAATATCAGTGTCGGGCCTTAAAATCCAAATATTGGTAATAGGATCTATGTATTTTTCATTTCTTATAGTTTTACTCGTTGTAAGACAACATGCTAATTTGTTTTTATTTTTTATTATATATATATAAAAACTAGCCCGAGGCACATCGCCTAGTGGATTTTTTTATTCTAAAAAAAAGGAGCTGCTGATGATACCATAAGATTGTATAAACCTCCTGTATTAGCCTGTTAGACCCGCAAATCCCCTTAGAGCTTTGATGGATTTAGGAACAGTCCAATTAGTCATTGCTTCTATTTTACTTGGATATGTAGCTACACCCTCCCCGGTGATAATATGCCCCAAATACTCCACATTTGACTATCCAAAAGAGCACTTAGAAAGTTTGGCAAATAGTTGCTCCTCCCTCAGAAATTCCAGTACTCTTTCAAGGTGTTGTTTGTATTCAATTAATGAGGCATTGTAGGCTAATATATCATCAAAGAAAACCAGAACAAACTTCCTCAAATAAGCTCTAAACACATGGTTCATGAGGGATTGGAATATAGCAGGGGACTTGGTTAGGCCAAAAGGCATAACCTTGAACTCATAGTGCCCCAAATGTGTTCTAAAGGATGTTTTGTACACATCCTCTTCCCCCATTATAATTTATTGGTAACCAACCTTTTTGTCAAATGTAGAGTAGATACAAGTACCATGTAACTACCCCATTAAGTCATCAACTAGAGGGATAGAAAACTTCTCCTTAACAGTCTTGTTATTAAGGGATCTGTAGTCAATACATAACCTCCAACTTCCATCTTTCTTCTTAACTAGTAGTACTGGTGAAGAAAAAGGGGAGTGACTAGGCTGTATTATTCCATTTGCTAGCATCTCATTGACTTGTTTATCAATTTCATACTTTTAAAAGGAATTGTACTTGTAAGGCCTTATGCTGACTGGTGTGGTGTTGGGTTTCAAGGGAATATGATGGTCATGGTTCCTCTTGGGAGGAAGGCTTGTTGGCTCCTCAAACACATTAGGGAACTGCTTCAGAACTTGCTGTATCACTATAGGTACCTGCTCCTGATCTTCCACTTTTTCTGCAGTTAGAGTAAATAGGTGAGCCCAGATAGCTTTTCTCTTATTCAATAGGTGTTTGACTCTAGTGACTGACATGCTCTTAAGTTCCCCTTGGCTGTAAATACCCTTGAACTCTACTATTTTTCCCTTGTGGGTGACTTGAACCTTGTACCCCACAACTCTAGCAATATTGTATTATGGCCTTTCATCCAATCTCCTCCTAATATCATATCATTTCCTCCCAATCTTACTAGTATCATAGAATCCTCAAACTCCACTCTTTGAATTACCCATTTGAACCTGTGGCAGGTATGCCTACTCATGAGGTAACTACCATTTGCTAGTGATCCTCATAGGAGCAGTCTCTGTAATCTTGCACCCTATCTTCTTAGTAGTCTCTATGTCCAGGAAGTTGTGGGTGCTTCATGAATCCAATAAGATAGTTATTGAATTCCTCTTGGACTTATCTCTTAGTTTAATTGTTCTTGGAACCTCAGTCCTAGAGAGAGCATTGAGTCTGATGGCCTCATCTATGACTTCCTCATCTGCTTGATCTTCTGGGCTGCCTTCTTCTACAGTTTCTCCTTCTTCCATTGCCTCCACTATAGCTTGGTCTTCAGAAGCAGCCATAGCATTGATTTGCTTCTGTTTGCACACATGCCCATGGAAATACTTGTCCCCACATTTCCAACACAATCCATTATTCCTCCTGTTATCAAAACCTTTGTTTCCTTGTGCAGAATAATTTGATGTCACTGCTCCCTTGGCACCCATTGTTGGATTGTGAGTGTTTGTCTGTTGGAAATTTCCATAGGTTGATCCTCTACCCAAAGTAGCCTTTCCTTTCTTATTCCAAGTTTCAATTACCCTTTCTTGATGTCTAGCCTTTTCCACAGCTTGGCTTAGGTTATAGGGATTAGCATCTTCACTGTATGCCTTATATTTTCTTTAAGGCCCTCTACAGAGAATTCTAGGAAGAATTCCTCTGGTATTATAGGGCTTCTGATCAGAACCCAAACCTTTAGATCCTCAAACTTCTCCAAGTATTCATTGACTGTTCCCTTCTACTCTATCTTCTTAAATTCACCAATGAGATTGAATTTACTATTGTCTGCATCTTGGAACCTCTTATAGATTTCTTCGAAAAACTTTGATCATCTAACATTCCCTTTGCTTAACTGATAGGAAAAGTACCAGGCCTCGACTCTTCCATTGAGATGTAGTACTACTTCTTCAAGTTTTTGCTCTGGATTGGACACATGGTTATAATGGAAATACCTTTCACACTTTCTCAGCCAAGAACAATGATCTGCTCCCACAATACCATCAAAATAAGGGAACTCCACCCTGGAATTGTAGCGGCCATGATTGTTATGGTGACTTCGATCATTGACCAAAGCAACAGGGACCTGCTCTCTTCTAAGGCCACTTCCCTTTTCTTCTTGCTGATGGATCTCCACTGGTGCACTACCCAGTATACCTGCGTGACTTGGCAACAATTTTTCCATCAACACATCGAACTTTCTCGCCAGTTTATCGATTTTGGCATCTATAGACTCGGATTTCTTACTTTCCTCTGTAACGTGATTTTGTAGTTGTGTCTTTAACTTCTTGAGACTGTCTTCCATATATTTGGATCAAGTTTACATAATAGTCATTATTGTAGAGCCAGGAGATGCTCTGATACCAAATGTAATGCTCGTACGTAAATTGACAACAAAAATGGAATTTGAACTTTTATTGATAACTGCCAACAAAATTACATCTCAGAAACTACAATTAGAACTAATGGTCTTCAGCTGAAGCTTGAGCTTTAATGGCGGATCACCTGAGAAAATAAGAAGTGAGGTAAGGGAGAGAAGAGAAGAGAAGAAAGAACGAAGAGAGAAAAAGGGATGGGAAATGAATTACCAAAATTTGCATAACCGTCTCTGTTCCAGCTCCTTGGAATGTAAGGCCCAATCTGTTACAGCCCACTAACTAACTAACAACCCACTAACTGCCTCAATTGAGGATTGATCTGGGCCCTTTATTGATTAAGCTGACTTCTAATCTTAGCCATCCAATACAACTAACTATTACAACACATGTGTTCATGAAGGGGTAATAAGCTGCCACGTCGCCTTTCCCATTTACATCTCTTAAACGTATCGATCAGCTCACTTTCCAAATCAAAACCCTAATTTCATCAATTTCCCAATTTAGAGGTACTCCTTCTACAGACATAACAAGGTTAGTCATTAGGGATTGAGATTTCTGGTGCTTGGTTTTGGATGTTTATAGAGATTGGGGTTGTGGGGATTTGTGGTTTTTGCTTGAATTGCTCCCATGGATGAGTCCGCCCCAATTGGGGGGTCGTTTGGATATGCCATAGCGCCTGTCGGAGGCCGGCAGAGATGTGGGTGGACAGCGCATGGGTTAGAAACGGTAGATTGTAAGAGAGAAAAGAAAGACGTCTAAATCTTTTGTACTCGTCTTTTGTTCCTCAATCTGATTTCTACTGACTATTCTAGCTTGTCAACCAGGAGATGGATCTTGACGACACAAAATCAAAAATTCTACCTTTAAGGTAATTGTATGGTCTTTTACCTGCAATGTATTTTGCAAGTGGAATGCTGTATTTGGAGAACTTTTTGAAAAATGGACAAATTTTAAAAAGTGGCTTTACAAAAGCCATATGGTGCAAATTTATGTCAGAATATCAAGCAAACACTTACTCCCTCCGTTACATCGTACGTGAACCTATTTCCTTTTTAGTTTGTGCTAAAAAATAATCTGTTTCCTTATTTGGAAACAATTTATCTTTATGTAATAATTTATAACCACAAAAAATATATGTGCCTCATTTTATATCACAAGTTCAAAAATCTTCTCTTTTCTTAAACTCCGAACCCATTCTTCACATAAATTGAAACGTAAAGAGTACTTTTTTTCAAAAGGAGAAAAGAAAACAAGGACAGATGCAGGGGTTACATTAATCAAGAGTTTTAAGCTATATATGTTTAATAGTTCAAAGAATTATTAAACCATTGGTACAATATTATCATTTATAACATGTTATTATTCTATCTTTGAGGTTATCATATGAAGCTTGATATGGAGAGTTAGCTTGTTATTATATCAACTTAACACAAGCAGATGCTTAACAGATGTTTAACTCCATAAGCAGAATCGTAAGCCAACCTAATAGGGACATCAGTAACTTCTTGCCATATTACATGTAAACTTCCCAAATTCTTAAGTCCAATAACCGCACAATGTTACATAATTGCTAAGCCAAACTAACAGGGACATCACTAACTTTTTGCCATAATACATGTAAATTTTTAAAACCATCGAACATCTAACTACAATTATTCAAGTCCAAGGATACCTGCTACCATATTTTCCTTCTACTAGCAGCAGGGAAGAAATAATCATTCTCCACTGCAGACTGCTGTGTATTTACGTCTACTGTTTTCCATCAGAGTACAAGCCAAAGATGGTGTATACATTCAGGCATGTTCGACATGCTAGCTCACCTTCTTTGAACGGGCTTGTAAAGCATGACCGTAACATATTTTGAGCGAAAACGATGTGTTACACCAAGTGCTACAACTGACCTCGGGGCTTCTCTGTTCTCAATATACAGATGGTTTAGCACCACGTTCTGTGGCAACGGTAGGGATGTTGAGGGATCTCTTGTTGTTGGGTGGTTTAGCAAGGTGTGATGCAGATGTGGCGGTACCGCCAGTGGTTCCCTCCCTACATCTTCATGCCCAGGATACACATTGTTGTAACTTGCATCAGGTGATCTTGCAACTTCAAAGCCCATGACAGTGGCTTCATCCTGTGTTCATAACTTAGATTTAGGCTGTCTTAAAAAATTAGCACTACCATAAGTTACAAGAATCTAAAACTTACTTGATCTTCACCATATGGATGAGGGTGATTCATGTTCATGTTGCTTCTAGGACTAGCTAATAAGATGTTTTAAGCCGACGAAACTTTCCTTAGTAAGTCAACCTGAATGTGTAACATCTTCTACGGTCATCAAGGGAATCAAGCATATTTTGAACTCTTAAATCACGAGCTATTTAGGTATCTTCTCTCAATTATCAATGCAGAGGTAACACTTAAAAAGCTTGGAAAAATCCAAGTTCTCGTAAGATAAGCTTAACAAATGGTAAACGACATCTGCCAAATAGATCAAACACTGAGATATTCACAATACAAATATCCTAAACAGAAACTGATAAGAAATACAAAATATAAGTGTAATATAGTAGAAAAATAATGTCGATATGTATGGCACGTGAGATGGAAGACAAAGGCCAAATTCAGTAATCTTTCAATTAAAGAGGTCAAAGGTTCACCACTGTCTATACACAGATCCAAGTATCTCCGTCACCTTAACGTATGTACCAAGATGGCATGCATGCACAGAGAGAGAGAGAGAGCAAAATAACAAGGATTAAGGAATAAAATTTAAGATGTTCAATGGAAGAAAAAGGAAAACTATTAACCCCCTCAAATTTGCCTTTTGAGTTCCTTTCATCTGACACTTATCCATTAGTTCCTTCAAGGACTCAGTCCGTCTTCCATCTGTAGATCTTTCCTTTCAAATGCTAAATCCTTCAGCCTAATCTAAATTCCACTATTCCAGAAGATGCACCTAAAGTTGGCCAAAAATCAGAGCCCGGGGAACTACTGCTTCTAACTTTGCAATCTTACAGAAATGAGAAATCTTCAAAGATGGGGGTTGGCCAAAAATTAAGGGTATTGACCTAGAGATAAACTAAACGTCACCTCCTCGAAACATATTGTTCTTAACCTAAGTTGCGCAGACTCTTCGTTTTTGTTGCCGCACCCGTAAATCCAAAGAATCTTAACCGAAGGTTCTGCTTTAACGATCAAGGATCAAATAGTAAATCCAAAGGCTCTAATATCAAGCCAAACATTCTCCAACTCCTTGGGAGCCAGCTAACAATTCTCTGATTAAAAAAAACAAAAACAAAGAAACCGAAAAGAAAAAGAAAAGCAAACTAAATAGGATAAAATTGTTTATTTCTATTAATCAATAAGCAACCTCAATAAATTCATTTTGAGCACGACCTCAGCTACAACTAGTTCCTGTTAAGCACTTCAGTGAACGTAAAAATCTTTTATTTTCTTGAAAATTTGGAAAGTGTATGTGCTTCAATTTTTATTTTCTAGGATGAGAAAAAAAAACAAATTCATGTGAAAACCGTAAGTATTACCTTCAAATATGATGCCCTCCCTCTTTCCCAGCTCTCAAAAGAAATTTAAAACAAAAGAAAAAAAAGAATGAGTCCACGTCTCCCTATTCGCTAATAATTCTATATTCTTCTCTCAGCACCACCAAAGAACAAGAGACCCACCTTACCGCATTGCCTTAAGTGCTACATCTAACCTTTATTCTTCAGTTTGGATAAGTGAATTTATCTAAGAATTAAAAAATTATCCATCTCTAGCTTCTTTAACATACCCCTCCAATCATTTATCAGCACTAATCTCGTTTTTCTTTATTAACGGGAAATCCCCGAAGGCTAGTGGCGCATGGTTCGGTACTCAATGGATAATAGGCACATCCCTCTACCCTTCTCCACTTGAATATCAGGCCTTTGTATGCGGCAATGTAGGAACTTGTGATGTTCGCCTAACCCATACAACACAAGCTGCACTCTCTCACCACTAGACTAAGGCCCTAGGGACAGCACTAATCTAATCGGTATAAGACTGCCATTAGCACATCATTAAGACATCCTCTCTTCCTCAAGGAAAAAAAAAAGGAAAAGAGAACGAAAAACAGAAATACAAAGAAGGATGCTCACAAAGTAGACCTGAGCAACGAATTGAATAGAACTTTGTTAGAAACCCAAACAACTAAAATTTGCTACATTACCCAGCTGGGCCTGAGCTGACTTTTTGTTTTTCCGAATCTTTAGGGGACTACTGAGGGTTCAAACATCATGACACTCGATTATTCAGTCTAGCCAAATGAGGTTAAATCAAGAACTAAATTCAATTAAAGTTATGAATCAATAGTTTGAATTACTTCACAAAACTAAACTTTTATGATTAAACCTTCATAACATATAAGATAATAAGTCAGGATAAAAATAAATTGTGGTTATGCTAAGAGAATATAAGAAATGAATTTGAATAGCAAAAAGATAATGGAATATGAGAATTTCATAATGACGTGAATAGTTTGGATGACATGGATTATTTCTTAGTCAAACTTAACATTATCTTATATAGACTTAATCGAAATATGCAGATACTTATTACATCACATAAATTGGAGGAATTTTTTTATTCCATGTTATATAAAAATTAGCCAATGCTAGTAGCTTGTGCTCAATTAAGATGTATCATTGACCCTATAGGTCACAGGTTCGCACAGTGGAATTAGCCACTGATGCTTGCGTCAAGGTAGGCTGCCTACATTACACTCCTTGGGGTGCGACCCTTCCCAGACCCTGCGTGAACGCGGGATGCTTTGTGCACAGGGCTGCCCTTATCGACCCAACCTGCCCAATTTTTTGGTACTCCAACTTATACTAGATAAATAAAATGCAGACCTCACAACAAGTTTGTTCGCAATCTAGCAATCAAATGGATGAGTTCCACCCATCTGACCTTGTTATTGCTCACGGCGATGGCACCATCTTTTGTCATTAGACGGTGACATCTGCTGTTACAATTAAGCAAGCAGATCCAAGGAAGCCAGACCCGAGCTTGGCTCTGTTTACATAACCAGGCCAAGCCTGACTGAGTTCCCAGTGAAAAAAGTACCATCACCACCTATACTCGAACAGGCTTGCTAACAATACTATTCACAAAAATCACAACTGCACCATTTCCATTCCTCTCACCACTAAACAGAGGCCTCAACCATGTCAAGATTTGAACAAAAAATGATCATGGAGGAGCAGTCCTACAACAGGAAATAGTGTTAAGGAAACTAGAATTGCAAAAGGAATGCTATGAATAGTAATACTACATTCAACTGCATTGATACATTTCCCGTTAATATTCCTCCTTAAACCATTTTCATTTTCAATATATCAAATTTCGAGACCAATCTTCAAGTAACACTTGAAGAACATATAGATATCTCAAAAGTTCCATGTGAAATGCATAAAGTTGCTATGGTCAAAGCTGCAATTAGCAAGTTAATTTTATTTTGACGAATGGGCAATGTACAGCTGCTAATTGTACCGTAGTAAATAAATACAACTTTTTCCTTACCATACTGAAAAGATGCATGATGATAGAATTAAAAACATGAACTAACCCATCTTGACTTCATGGTGGATTGCCAAGCCACACACAAGTATCATGGCTTCTAAATAGACATACTACACTCAGGCACAATGTTCAACAGTTGTCAGTACATACAAGGGTTTATATAACGGAAAAGGGTCATATTTATCCCTATACTCTTTAAAAATGGTTATATTTGTCCTTCGTTATACTTTTTTGATATATTTATCCTTACCATTATACTTTAGGATCATATTTATCCCTGTACTTTTCAAAGAGGGTTACATTTGTCCTTCGTCATACTTTTTGACATATTTATCCTTACACTTATACTTTAGGATCATATTTGCCCCTCATCCATTAAATCCCCATGTCCCACCTTTGTTTTCCTACATGGTGCCGATGTGGATTTCTTTTTCCTCCAATTTAAATATGGTCAATTATTTAAGATAATTTAATTTAACCATAAACCATAAACCATAATTTGGTTGTCCGCACTTATTTGTGTCTTTGGGCAGCCAATATATAAAATATAGTGGCTTCATTCTGATAATTCACATTACTCTAATATTATTCGTCATTGTAGGTTTATGTTAAACCAGGTCGAAGATAAGGGGTGGAGCAAGAGTATTAGGTATGGTTTGAATGAACTCTATAGCTTTTGTTTAGATTTGTGTTCTATTAGGAAATACATTAAATATGTATAAATATTTAATTACGAACTTAATAACTAAAATGAGCTATGAGCAAGATCAGAACCCATAAACTTTAAATCATGACCCTGCCATCCAAAAAGTTGAATTATTTAGATATACTTTTTTAAATATGTAATATTATTTTATTTTTGAAAAACATGAAAATTATATACCTAAATCACAAAAAAAACTAGATGTTTTANGATGTTTTGACCCTTGTAATCGAATTCTTTCATATAAAATGAGAGGAGGGAGCAATATTTTCTTTTCGAGAAAAAATATGTTTGAGGAAACCATCCTAGACAATATTAGGCTTCTGGCAGTGCTCTATTTTAAGCACGGACCTTTGTCATTAATTCCATTGTTGTGCAACTTCTCGTAATTTAATTTGGTTACTGCAATAATTGTAAGTTGTATCAGATTAGTGATTTTGAGTTCAAAGTTCTTGTTTGCCAATATGTTGCCGCTGCTATCCGAAAAATATGGAGCTGAAAAAGAACATTATCTTAAATAGGTGACCATATTTAAATTGGGTGCGCGGATTAAATTATCTTAAATAGTTGACCATATTTAAATTGGAGGAAAAAGAAATTCACATAGGCACCATGTAGGAAAACAAAGGTGGGACATGGGGATTTAATGGATGAGGGGCAAATATGATCCTAAAGTATAAGTGTAAGGATAAATATGTCAAAAAGTATGACGAAGGACAAATGTAACCCTCGAGTACAGGAATAAATATGATCCTAAAGTATAATGGTAAGGATAAATATATCAAAAAAATATAATGAAGGACAAATATAACCATTTTTAAAGAGTACATGGATAAATATGACCCTTTTCCGTTTATATAATTACCTATTGAAATACAATAACAAGAAGTATATTTACATAGAATTGCATGTATGCAGTATATAAGCTACATGTTCTCAACCCAAACTCTACTTCTTTTCATTTTAACAACTCTAGCTTTTGCACATCTCCCCCATAGTCCCATTTTTGTACTCAAGAAATTCCTAAACATGCAGCAAAATAAACTTCAAAATATTCCCACATCAATCAGAAAGCTTTGCAATGATTGGACCATGTCCTAGTGAAACCAATGCATTCATATTTAATATTTCAATTACCTCGCTTAACTGAAACTGGTAAAGTATTTACAATTTCACTCCCTTCACCCTATTTCTATTTTAATCCATCTCTAGAATTGCAAGAACTAAAGAAAACACCTACAAACACACTAGGTAAAACCATTACCAATCGTTTCCTGAACTATTGTTCAGTATGTTAAGTTTATATATTCCCTCCTTATATTAGCGTGGTTAACTTGATAGATTTTTTTATATGCTTATTCCAAATTCAGAGGTTCAAAGATTATAAATATGAGCGGCACCAATTTGAAAGTGGGGACCATATCTGGGAAAAGTAAAAAAAATAAGAGAAGGAAAAGAAGGTACACAGGGAGCAGCCAAAAAGAAATGACTACAAGGACAAGACAACTGTGAGAAATTATCTACTTTTTACTGTAGTCCTAAATCTTGATAAGTGCATGCAAGAATTTCGTCATTAATTTCAAACTGTATAAAATGAATTTCAGCGAAAACAATAGGTTCATCTGCTTGAAAAAGCAAGTCTCAGAGCACAGATGTGGGTGCCTTGATGCACAAACAAGCATGAATAAATGCAACCAGGTACCTTTTTCCCATTCACAAATCAGATCCTGATCTACATGATCATGCACGCTAAATTAAATGATCAATGATTACATCCAATTGGTGGGAGAATAACCATTTTCTGTTGCCATGAAATGTTCAATATAGTTGACACTAATAAAATAAGGTTTGGTTGTTATATGGACAAGAAACTGGAGATTTTATGTTGAGAAAGTATTTTGAACGCTTATTTTCCTTTTTCATGGCAAGACATAAATGTACTAGACCTATACCTGAGCTACAGCTCAAAGGAGAAAACAGCAAATCATAGTTTAACGAAATCAGCTTACATGGAAGTGGATGGTTCAGCAAAAGAGTTGCTCATGAAACACCTTGAATCTTGGATCTCCTATGAAAAACTCGAACTCCCTTGAAATGCAAAATTTGCAACCTATCACCCATATTTATATTCAAGTAGCTACTGATGCACTTTATTCATGCAAAGCAATATGCGTACACGTCTCAAAGGCCACACTGCTCATTAGACACATATTACTAATATTGACAAGTGGTTATAGGGAGATCCTGAAGCGTGGAAACCACTTTCATTTCCTGACCATGCTAGTAACTACTATTGTTACAGTAGTTCTGTTCTCCTCCACTTTAAGCGTTACAATAAATTTATCTACCATGCAGAACAACAGGTGGCCCCAAGATTCCATTACAGACATCTTAGCCCAACTGTTATTTAAGACACATGTTATCATTCCAAAAGTGTTTCAAACTGATGGTAGACTAAAACCAAGATCACCAGAATATTGATAACAGCTTGATAGCAGCTTCACACCAGCTTTAATAAGTGCAGAAAGAGTACGTCGACAAAGAGCTTTATTTGAATTAGAATCTGATCAACCCCAACCTCTGATGAAAATGATCTAAAATTAAATGCATTTTTAAAGCCTCAACAAGAGAATTAACTTCGCCTGTGTGAGTCTTGCATATTCTGCCCGAATTCCCAATAAAGGAAGAGGTTTGCTCTAAGTTGACAGGCTGAGAGTCCTTTGTACGGTAAAAATTGCGTTACACATAGTTATGCGTCGGACTTTCCACCATATTTTTTCTAAGATCTATCAGTCTACCTAAACGATAGAGGTAAAAACACTGTTGCTTTCAGAAATAAAATATTTCTTTGCTATCTATCTTTGGATCTTACGTAACAGATCCTGCTCCCTAAGAAGTGTCATTAAAATGAGCGTCCGTTCAAAGGTAATCATGTTGATTTCTCACCTTTCGCTACTTTCAAGACTCACACAAGAACAAGAGTCCAAGCTTTAGTCAATAGGGATCCTACTTCTTTCTTCCAACCTCGTCACCTTCAATTTAAGGGCAACCCACCTAAGTACCTACGGTATAAGAGATCTGGGGAGTCATGGGAGCTACCCACTTCGATCAACTAGCCAAGATTCTCCTGGATACAGAATCGCTGGTGCTTGATTTAGTAGCATTTTTATGGTGATTCTACCTATCACTATAAAAACTAACAAATCCTGCGAACATTAAATGGATATGCTCATAGAGGGAAATGTGCCCTATATAAACAGAACGAACAGAAATACAGATGATTCATATAGCAAACCCCAACTAATGAAGGATTAAATCGTAGGCAATTGATTGATTGAACCACAGGTTCTCTAAGGAACCAGGAAATCAAGCAAATTTCTCAGAACTAAAAGCTCATAACTTACAGAAATTGAAAATGGGTCTCACAAAAGGAAAGCTTACAGTATTCAATAATCGAAACAAACAATGGAGAAGTTCTTGCAAACTAAACATGCCACTTATAGAGTATGCAATACATGGATATATTAGTATGTAATTCAAGATTCTACGGGCATTTATGGTTTACTCCATAGAACTGAGCATTAATAAAGAGTCTACGTTTTATGCATTGATAAAAATATTTACACAATTAGAGCACTCAAAAGTGATCGTAGGTAATTCTTTTAATAGCACTATTAATTGGTAACCTAAAATAAACAGTAACCTGCTACAACAGGTTAAACTACACTGATCTTGTAAAATACATACCTAATTCAGCCGGCCTTTGGCACTTTTCAATAATCAGTTTTCCCTGAAAGCCCTCGTCTTGGAAAGAAAAATGCCAAGGAATAATTTTCAAATGGTAAATGAATCTCCGCAGAGCGGCAAAACCATCTGCAAGAAGAATTATAATCAAGCCCACAAATTAAACCTAAACCCAATCAGTACTTTTGTAAAACCATAGTAAGAAAGGAACAATTATTCCCCTGAGTTTGGATAAAACGAAAGAGAGGGGGAAAAAAGGAGTGAAACGCACCAAGAGAGAGAAGAAACGATTTTTATAGTATGAAGAAAATGAAGGTAATGACAATTTCTTACTTAGAAAATTCCGCCACAGAATCTAAAGAATCAAATTTTTAAAATTTCTAAATGAATTGTGTTCAAGGAAAGAATGTTATGCCTTCCAAAATAATTAATGAATCCCCCATTGATTTTCTCCGATAAATTATACTCCCGCCGTTTCAATTTATATGAATCTATTTCTTTTTTGGTCCGTGTTAAAAAGAATGACCATGAAACAATTTATCTTTATGCAATAATTTATAGCCATATAAAATATATGTGTCTCATTTTACATCACAAGTTCAAAAATATTCTCTCTTTTCTTAAATTTCGTGCCCAGTCAAATGGGTTCACATAAATTGAAACAGAGGGAGTAGTAACTTGTTTGGTCAAATTTTTTTGGTCTTTTTTCCAATGTTAAAGTTCATAAGGTCAAGCTTTTAGAAAGATAAAAGGGATAATGCATAAAATCCACCCTATCCTATGACCCATTTAGCAACTACACACCTTTTTTTGGGGGTTCTATTACCCCTGAACTTATTTTTATCATAATTGATTTAACATTATTTTTACCATAATTGATTTGACGTGTCGGGTTTAATTGAGCATATAATGTTAAATCAATTATGGTAAAAATAAGTTTAGGGTAATAGGACCCCCCGAAAAGAAAAGGTGTGTAGTTGGTAAATGGGTCATAGGATGGGATGGATTTTATGCGTTATCCCAAGATAAAACATTATTATTTTTCAGTTGAATCACAAGCTCAAAATATAGCTTCTCCCTAGAAATACTTTATTGAAAAATACTTTTGAAAAAATACACTTAGAAACTCTTTTAAAGGTTTGTTCAAACACTAATTATTACTCAAGTAATTTTTCAAATTAATTAGCCAAACACAAATTACATCTTATCAATAACACTTTTTTGAAAAGTACTTTTAACTAAGACAATTTTAAAGATAAGCTATTTAGATTTGGCCAAACATGCTATAAAGAAAGTTTAATATTTCTACCTGTTACATCCTCACTCATTGTCTAGGTTGTGCATAGGGATAGTCGAAAAGTGGTGAAGGTATGCAGCACCTAAATCTTAAATTTGGAAGGTTGTATATATGTTTAGAAGAGGTTAGAAGTAGTTGGGAATAAAAGGAAATTGTTTAAAGATATGAAAATAACTTTAGCTACACCTGACATAAGTTCAAACAATCATAGATCCTAATGTATAATGAATCGAGTTAGGATTTATATATCAAATGAATGATTTTTTAGTCTTATTTTTAGAATATCAAACCGTTCGTCGTTTGGAGCTACATGATTTATCAAATAACATCTTCAGGAAATGCGACGCAAATTTGCGCTCAAACGCAAAAATGTGGCGCGCGAGCCAAAACGCAAGCAGCCCTAGCCTTGATATAAAAGTGGAACAGGGAGAGAGAAATTAGTCCTATTTTTCGAAGACAAAACCTTTTCTCTCAACCCCAAGTCGTCCAAGGTTTCCCCTAGGCGAAATACATAAAGTCCCCTTTAAGTTGTCCTCAACGATCAACTGAACACCTCAACAGAGGCCATTTTCAGCTAGACACTTTATTTGTTCACAAAAGAAGATCAACTAAACACCCGATCATGTCATCCCCATCGCGTAAAATGCACTTTCTTGGATGCTAGTTGTCTACCTAAAATTAGGTATTTTCTTTTTCTTTTCCTAAAATAATGTGGACCCCAACTAATTTTCACACCTCCTTCTCCTCTCAATATCAAATCTCGATTTCTTTAATGGAGGAGTGAGGCGAGGAACATATATATCCAACTACATTCACATGATGAATCCTTCCAATGGTAGCTACTTCTTTCATAAATCTTGTCCTCCACCAGCTTTAGGTTTGCTCAACATCTTCACTGTTACATCCCTGCCACTGCGAAGCTTTCCTTTATATACTTTGCCATAACCTCCCTCGCCTAACTTCTCTTCGAACCCTCTAGTAATTCTCTTTATGTTGGAGTAATTAAATCTGATTGGCATGAAATTGTTTTGTGTCTGCAGAAAGTTTTCAATCATATCACACATGGGCAAATGCCTCCTTTTGAATTTGAATATCAGAAATACAAATATGGATTCCTCCATTGTTGCTGTTGTGTTGCAATTTCAGGTGAAGAAGAAGGTAAGTTAGGTTGGGCGAGCGTGCGGGAAGGGTTCAGATATTTTTTTTTTGTTTTAGTTAAAAATGATACGTGTCACTATTTAATTGGTTCATTAGGAAAGTATAATTCACGCATATGGTGTGCTGCACTAGGGTGTTTACTTGATATGCTTAATAGCTATTTGAAGTGTTAAACTGGTAAAGGGACCAGTTGAGATGTTCAATTGATCGTTGAGGACAACTTAAAGAGGCACTTTATGTATTTCGCCTTTCTCCTAACACCAAAGATGAATTTTGAACATGATTAAATTAAATTACTACTTCCAAAACATGGTGTAAAGCCCAAGATCTTTTTAATCAAGCTTAATATAAGCTTAAGAGAATAATTAACGATATTTTAAAGTACGTGCGGGCCCACACGAGAGTAACAAGATCATTACAATACTTGGGCACGAATGTAAGAAGAAATGAAGGTCCCAAATTGAATGGTTTAGAAAAAAGGGAGGAAGGGATCCCAGCGGACCTGCATAGTCTTTGTGCGTAGCCTACGCATGATGTGTAGGCAAAACAAACATGTTAGAAAAAGGGAAAGGCTTAAGATGTATAGGCTATACAAGCATGCATAGTCAACCCGCGTAGCCAAGCCTATGCATCTCATTTTTTATACACAGAAGGGGGTTGGGGAGAGAGAAAGAGATGCATGATTTTGGAGTCTTTGAATTCTAGAAAGAGAAAAGGTCAATCCCTACACATAATACACTTCAAGGTATGATTTTTTTGTCAAATGCTATAACTAACACATCTATGGATTCAATCCATGGGTTTTCGCTTGAATCTTAAAGAATCACCAAAAATACCTAAGAAGAGGTTTTCAAATTAAGGTTTGCTTCAAAAGGTAATTTCTTCTACTCCAATCACATTTATGAGGTTTAAATGAGTGTATTTATTGTGTTCATGATATTGGAAGGTAGTTGAATGTGAGTAGTTATGAAATGATAGTTGGATATTTATGCTTGATAGTTAGAAAGACAATGAATAGTGATTTGGGGTATTACATGAAGGTTGTTGAGTTTTCTATAACCCCAATAGACTATTAAGTACTATAAATGAGATTGTTAAGCATGGGAGAACATATATGGTAGGAAAGATGTATCCTATGTGTCTATGTTACACCCCAAGTTTTCATACGTGAGAGTACGTCGTAAGTCATTGATGTAAGCTCAGAAATGAGATTATATTTGGAAGAAAATAAAGCAAGTTAATCATGTTACCTTGGAGGTTACAAATATTTAAGATCATGAATAACGAGTACCAAGAGGGTTGGAAATCTTAGAAGCTAAACCAATTGAAGAAAATAAGTTTCGTCGAAAGTCGACAAGTTTCGAATGTTATAACATGTACTTTGGGGTGAGACTAGGGTTATTAACATGATAAGTAGGTTATTCTATGAGTTATTTTAGTCGTATGATATTCATTTTCTACATTTTGAAGGGAAGCAAGTTGTGGAACAAGAGTTGGCAAAGGTCATCACAAGTTACATTCATAAATTTGCTGAAATTTAGGTCAAATGTATCTGAGAATTTCTCCAAATATACTTGGAATCATGGGGTGTTCTACCTACCAAATTGAAGGTTTACGAGTCTAGTTTCTAACGCATTAAACCGTTTATCAATACAATATTGGAGTAGAGAGATATTCGCGTTTTCGCGAGACCGCGCAAACAGCTCCCAGTGGGACCCACTTAGGCGGTGGTTGACCTACTTCAATTTATAAACAATTTGGACGCCTATTTTT